CACCTTCGTTTAGAGATGTTAGATCTTAAACCACTTATATGCTTTGATTAAAATATTTTTTTTTGGTAATTGTTTAGTGTTATTGTAATAATCCATTAGTTTAGACATTTGAATACTTTAATCACTTTTTTATTGATGAGACAGTTACTATGCTCCATATTCATGTCACTCACTATCATTAAGAATATGAGTATATTCTTAAATACTCAGCATTAGAAAACAATCACATTTGGGAGATGACATTTAGGCATGTTAATGCAGAAATGTTTGTGACTTATGGCAAATTTCTACTTATAGTCATTTTTGGGGGATATGTCCCCTTGTCAAATAAGTGTTTCATTTGAAAGGAATCCACAGAATAGTGAAGCACTGAAAGGTAAGGCAAATTGGTGGCCTGAGAAAGTTTGCTACTTTTATTTATCAATTTAAAAAAAAGTATATTTTAAAACTATTTGGCACAATTGACAAGGGCAACCTTTAAAAATAATGCATTTTCTAAGAATTTTCAAATTCAACCTTCAAAATTGCATTCTGTTTTTTAAAGATAATTTATTAAAATTTTGAGATTTGTTACATGATAGATGATGTTTATGCTCAAACAAATTTAATCAAAACTATGTTTGATGTCTTTATGAGAAAATGAAATGTCACTGAACATAGTACTTAAGGAAGTACTTAAGTGTTACTGCATTGCTTAATATCTGTTAAAATAATATTGCATTTAAAAAAGCATAGCAAAGGTAAAGTGAGTGAGACAAAGCTCCCATTTCCCCATGTACTCTTTACATTCTCAAGTTTTTAGTTTATGAGTACATATATCCATGTTTTTTAGTTATATCCATAGATCATAGTGAAAGTCAGATTATAGGAAGTGAGTTCCCAAAGCATGTTTAAGTCCACATTTCCCTGAGCAGTCTTTCCTTTTGCATAGTATTTCTAAGGGGGATAAACAAAGTTTTTGTAGTTACAGTGAAAGCTAAAAGCATGGCATCAGAAACTGTATGGAGATAGGGAGGTCTTATCATGGGCTGTGGTTGCTGTGAGCAGGGCTGCCTTCCCACACAAAGAACAGATTGTGGTTTAACTCTTTCCATGGCCTAGTTTAATGTGCTTGCATAGTAACCGAATTGTTCAAATCTCTGCTGGAAACTACTGATCGGTTTAATGATTTCCTCTATGGCATTTGGTTATGCCTCATACTGTGATGTAATCATCTGCATTCCGTATTGTCATAAAATTTGATTCATACTTATTCTGCTATAGGAAAATTTTATGGCAATATGTTAGAACACTTGACAACTATGTTATTGATTGGATGGGTCATATACCTTTTCCGTATCTGAACTGCAAACTGCTAATGTGTTGCAGTCTTTAGCATTAAAACTTTGAATTTCATCCTAAAAATGCATTCATAGCTATATGGGATTTTTTGGACACCTTCTTTGTTAGAGTGTTATTAGTTGTACTTTCATCATCTTTACCTAATGGAATTAGTCAGTCTGGTGGTTAAATAGAAGTTATTCCACATAGTTCAGGGTGACTAACACAAGTATATAAATTATAACTTGGGATACACTCAGAGAAAGTTAATTTGTGGTTGGGATGACAATATAGTCAATGTGATCAGAAAAGTGTTCGCAGTGGAAGTTCTCATTTGCTTTAGATCTCGGCTTGATGCATACGTACAGTGGTGCACGCACAGAACATTAAGCTCTTTCTTCAAACAGTAAGAGGCCTAAGCTTATAAGGCAGGTTTTTCTTTAGTCAGGAAGTAATCAAACACTGCTTGCATTGGGAAATAATTTGAAATATCTGTAGATAAAGATTATCTGCCACTCTTTATTCCTTCCCTGCCCCTTAGAAAAGGGTGAAACAGGCAGGAAAAATGCAGGAGCCTAAAGGTTAACCACTTAATTCAAAAGACAGGTACTATATAATCTGTATACATGCGGATTCACAAGCACATGCATATGTGCACCCACTGTCCTGTCCAAGAATTCATTTACGTGGCAAATGAATTGTATGGATTCCACAAAAGCAGTGACTGACTATCATCAGTGCACTCACTCCTGGTGTCACCCTGCCACAGTTTACAGAGACACAAAGAATCTAAAGTTGGTGCCAAGTTGCCATTTTTCATTGTTCACCTCAGATTGATTTTTAAGGAGTTTAGAATAATTGCCATACTCATGTGATCGGTTAACAAATTAACTGACTCTGTGGGGCTTCATATTCTATACAAAAGCTGTTAGAAGAACACTCATGTAATTTTTGTTTTCAACTTTAAAAACTTCTATTAGGAATGCAAGAGTGTGTCTGTGAGAGAGCAGGAGTGTGTGTGTGTGTGTGTGTGTGTGTGTGTGTTGGGATCTGGCGTTGGTGGTGAGGGGAGAGAATGCAGTGCCCAAAGTATGGAAACCTTCTGTTCAGGACACTGATACGACAAGCTGTGTCCTTTGCCCACTTTCCCTCACTGTATACCGGTTTCTCTAGTTACCACTCTTGGAATGGTGCTGTTTCAGTGTTGGAATGTTGGACGTTTGATAAGAAAATGGATCAAGTTTAATGGCGCATGCTCTTTGTGCCACCAGCAGCCTCTTGCTGAGAGCATGCTCCAAAAGCGGGAACTGTGTGGCATTACACTGAGCATCTATATGCTTTGTGTTTCTGTGCCACAGAGAAGAGAAATGAACTGTGGCATCGCTCCTGCCTTTTGAACAGCTCTGCACCGATTAAACAACAACAACATCAACAACAACAAAAATAACTCACTGTGTTCTTTGTAAAATGGTACTGCATAGTGTTAGTTGGTCAATCAAATGTTTAAATATTAAATTAGGTGCCAAGCACCTTGGTTACATATGTTTTAAAGAATATAGAATGCATGGCATTGGGGTGGAAATGAGGGGGATGAGACGAGTGGAAATATAAAATATAAACCTTATTTTCTTTGTAGGAGGGAGAATCTATCTGTGAATTTTGGTGGAAAGGGGGCAGCTTGGCATTCTTTATTTTCTTCTTGTCCTGCTATTTTGATAATTTTAAATAAGAAAGCAATGTTATTTTCATGCATACTTTTTTGTACTGAATTTGTGGTCTTGTTTTTTGAGCTGAAATTAAACTGATTATGCATACCTTCCTTCTCCCCTCATTTTCCACAGGATGAATTTCACCCATTCATCGAGGCACTTCTTCCACATGTCCGTGCAATTGCCTATACTTGGTTCAACCTGCAGGCTCGAAAACGCAAGTACTTTAAAAAGCATGAGAAGCGAATGTCAAAGGATGAAGAAAGAGCAGTCAAAGATGAGCTTCTCAGTGAAAAGCCTGAAATCAAACAGAAGTGGGCATCCAGGCTCCTGGCCAAACTGCGCAAAGATATCCGCCAGGAGTACCGAGAGGACTTTGTGCTTACCGTGACTGGCAAGAAGCACCCGTGCTGTGTCTTATCCAATCCCGACCAGAAGGGTAAGATTAGGAGAATCGACTGCCTGCGACAGGCAGACAAAGTCTGGCGTCTGGATCTAGTCATGGTGATCCTGTTCAAAGGCATCCCCTTGGAAAGTACCGATGGAGAGCGGCTCATGAAATCCCCACATTGCACAAACCCAGCACTTTGTGTCCAGCCACATCATATCACAGTATCAGTTAAGGAGCTTGATTTGTTTTTGGCATACTACGTGCAGGAGCAAGGTAGGAGCAGATTGTTCTTTTCTTCTAGCACGGCAAACATTGCCCACAAACCTCCGTATGTGGAATATTTGGCTTGGGTTAGATGGTCCTTGAGGCCCCTAGATCTTCTCCACCCTCACTGGGTACAGTGGTGTGCCCACATCCACTCACATGTCCACTGCCATGTGTGAGCCATGTAAATAGACACGAAGTTTCATACCTGGATAGGCTTGGATATTTAAAGATCACAAAGAGATGCATTTTCAAGTGTCCTTGAAAGAATATACTTTTTCAAAGACACAGTATTCTAAAAAATATAGTTTATTACACTTCACTTTCTGTCCTAGGCTACATTTCTTGCATGTATTCGTCTTTTCCTGATTTAAAAATGTAACATTATTTATGAATAGTCAGACTGCTCTTTAATAATCTTTGTATTAGCCTCTTCATTAATGAGATAAAGAAAGTTTGTTCATGAATTTGGTGCTATTGTGCTGAAAATAGAATGAACATTTACTGTAACAAAATGTTTAAGGTAGCCAGTAGATCAAGATTTAATTTTAATATTTCTATCAACGCCTACTTTTGATTGTTCCGTATTCACTATAGATTAAGTGGAATTTAGTTCTTTTTAAAATAATTTATAATATCTTCCCAGAATGACTTAGGAACACTTACGATCGTTAGTTTACTTGAATGTAAATTCATAAAACTTACTGAGGAGGAAAGTTGCATCTGTCCTTACAGAACATTACAGAACAAAAACATAAAGTGGACTGGTTACACTGGTTTAAAATAAATCTCAAAAAGAATGCAGAAATTGCATACCATACCTATTTTTAAAAAAATACTCGGTACAAAGAGTGGTATAAATGTTGCCTGAATAATTCAAAATAGATAATGTTGTTGATGAGTATTTTTTGAGTTAATAAAATATGTTTCTTTATCATTTTTGTTTTCTTAATATATTTTCCTTAAGTAGGTGAGAATTTCTTTGCTTGAAATAAATGTGTCAGAATATAGATGTCCTTGCTTAGCAACAATCCATTGTAGTAAAACATCATTTAAAAAAGCAGCATACCTTAAGTGGACTGAAGTTTGAGCTGCCACAGATGATGGGTGGGTCATTTCCAATCTTGGCCTGGTGGGAGGGAAAATGGCCTGCAGATAGCCAGGTGGCAGATGGTTATCTGATATTTGTTATATAAATGTGGGATTTAATAAATTGCTTTGAACTTTATTATCATCCAAAAAAGTAAAATATCAAAATTGCTCTTTTGACTCGGGAATCTAGGTGCTTACTATGTGCTTTTTGTCTTCATATTTCTTTCATATAGTTTTAGAGATATGCTTAAATGTCATTCTAAATTTTTACTGTGATTTTAAATAATGGTGTTGGACATTGCACATTTGGAAATACTACGTTTTCTTTAAAAAAATGAAATATGAATTTACTATTTTTACGCACTTAGGAATTAAAGTCTGAATAATGATGGTTTGGGAAAATATATTTTCATCCTATGTGTCATAAAATAAAAGCTTATTAACACATGACACTTAATTTGATTGACATCTGTCTAGGAGGTGACGTTTTAAGGTGGGCTGTATACATGTGTTGAAATGACTGTAAATGTGTTGTAACTGTGTTGTGAAAGTTAAGACTGGAAGTAAAGTTTTAAAAAGTGGGTCATGTAACTTTTTAGTTCAGAGAGGGACAATTTGCAACCACTTCACTGTTGCTCACATTTTAACTTGCTTGAAGGCTAATCCTTGAGGTGGGCATGCACGCACATTTACTCCTGGGGCAGGCAGCCAACTCCCTTAGTTTTGATGAACTGACAATAAAGAACATATCCTTTGGATTTGTGAAGATAGATTGAAAAAAAAAATGCATTAAATGCCTTCTACATTGCACTATTGGTCATGATAATAATAAAGTTTTAAGCAATTTTTGGAGACTATATTTTCAGATAAAACAATGATGTTGTTGTTGTTTTCACCATCTCTATTGTAAGAACCTTTTATAATTTTACCCTGTGCATCTATTTTGTATCCTCTGCTACCTGCCAGTGCCTCATCTCATCTCAACATCTGTTGGCTCTTTCTTTGAAAATGTCACATCAGGATGCTTTTGTGTTTTCTCTTTTTCAAAATTTATATCTTTTTCTTTGTCAAGTATGGGTTAATTATGTCATTTCGCAGTGCAATTGATTTAAAAAGGCAGGTTTTAAAAGATAAGTCTGTAGTCAATCAGAGGGCTGCGTATCTCACGTTGTGACTTTTTATTTCTCCTCTAAGTACATGAAAACCCACTTAAGTCTGTTTTATAAATCTGGGAAAGAAATATAAAGAAAAACATAAAAGAAAAATCAGAAAAGAAAAATGTGATGTTTACAATAGAATGAGCAACAAAATTACCTTTCCCTCCTTTTTTCTCTCTCTCCCTACTCTAAATGACTGGGGAAAAAACATGAGAAAGAACAGAGAGTATGCCAAAGATGGTTGCCACTGGCACCAGGATTGGCATCAGACCCTCTTTGTTTAGCTCAGGATGCCTGTGATTTGTTAGTTGGCATCCGCATTGCAGTGTGGAGTGATGTTACAATATATTGACAATTTCCAGATCTAGAAATGTCAATAGTCCTCTTGGTTATTTATACAAGATCACATACTGCATCTCTTCTGGAGTATGAAATAAAGACCAATATATAATAAAGTTCCATTGTTGACCAACTTCTTATACTTTTCTTTTTCCCTCTTTCTCTTTTGGTTCAACCCACACTTTTTTCTTCTTCATGGCCAGCAGCCTCATCTTTCCTGAAATGTGGAAAGAGTTATTAGATCTTTGACACAAGCTATAGTGCTACATCTGCATCTGATACGGTTTTGGGAAAATTTTATGCATTTTGAAATTATTTTTGATATATAGTTCAGTAGAGTTTTGCATCACATGGCTGCAAGGCAGTATTTTCTGTAAAGCTAAATCTCTTTGTTATTCAGCTTCCTTTATGCATATAGTCTGGTTGACCGCAATTTAGTCCATTTTACTGTTTCTTTACATTAGCAAAGGGTCATGTTCAATGTAGTTGTTTATAAGACTATATGTCCTCTTCACTTTCCTTAAAATATATACATCATTTGGGAGTAGCTGCATTTAAATCCATAAAATCATTTGACGTTATTGATTCAGAGGGCTGCGCTTCGGCTGTTTCGTTGCTACAAGAACCGCCATTTTGTTTGTGAAGTGCCAGGCGAGGGGGAAAAAAAAGGCAGACACTGTGTTTGATGCCAATAATGGTTGCCAGTGGCACCGAGGTTGGCATCAGACCCTCTTTGTCTAGTTGCTGAATGCCTTTGATTCGTTGGTTGGCATCCGCATTGCAGTGGGCACACTGGAAAGTTTTTGACAATCCCTGAATGAAAGCTGCTTGCTTGTTTGCTGCAGCAAACCATAGCTAATATAAAACCCTTCCTTTTTTTTTTTTTTTTAGTTTTTTGTTTTTTTTTTTTTTTTTAGTTTTTTGTTTTTTTTTTTTTTTTTAGTTTTTTGTTTTTTTTTTTTTTTTTAGTTTTTTGTTTTTTTTTTTTTTTTTAGTTTTTTGTTTTTTTTTTTTTTTTTAGTTTTTTGTTTTTTTTTTTTTTTTTAGTTTTTTGTTTTTTTTTTTTTTTTTTTTTTTTTTTTTTTTTTTTTAAAGATTGTGTCAGATTAGGGGAAAAATAGCTCTAAAGTGGTCTCCGTTTTCCCAAAGATATTAAAGATGTCCAATGATTCTTGGGCAGGTGGTACCTATTCCCCATATTGTCTTTGTTATTGCATTCATGAAAGCAAAGCAAAACAAAACCAAAAAAAACCAGGCAAGCCTTGCACAGCACACCTTCCTGGGACATAAATGTTCTATAGGACACAGCATGTACCATCCCAATGTGTGGATCACAAGCAGAATGCAGTGATAGGTAGTGCATTCATTATGACTGACTATTGCTTTCAATCACTGCTGATTTCTTAGCAATTTCCAGTTTCCACACTTCCAAATTTTATAGAACATGTCGAGAGAACCTTTTTGTCTCTCAAGTTAGTAGTGTGTAACAGTGTAAATGTTTTTAAAAAATAAAAAACCCTAATGAGAATACCTTTGTGTCAAGGTCTGATATAAACCAGTCATTTCTGAATTTCTTAATTCTGCATCAAAATGTTGTCAGATTCTCAGTGCAATATTCTGCATACCAGGAAAACCAACCAAAAGGCTAAAATAATTTTGGTTGAAGGTTCCTACATAGTTAGTATTAATATTGCTTTCCGGTTAACCACTATTATCTCGTTAATTAATAAGAAGGATTAGCAGTTCTACCCAAAGGGCTTCACAGAAGGAAATCTGGCCTATGGGAGGCCTTGAGTCGCCAGACTGTGTCCTGTCTGAAGGGGAAAAAAGGCGGGGGTAGTGAGGGGACTGGGCTTTCTCTGAGGCAGGGGAGGATTTTGAAAAAGAAAGAGGTCACAACACACCAAGAAGTTTAAAGATCTCAAGAGATAGTAACTGTTGCCACAAATTTAACATTAGATTAGAGTTTAAACTAAGTCAGCCTAGCTGATTTTTGGACTGTACTTTGCACTCTCATTAAACATGTTTTGGAGTGCTAAAGAAGAGTCCAGAAACCTCACTGCTCTAATTAAAAATTATAAGTTTCCTTTAGTCTTGTTGAACCCTTAAAATTGGGATCCATTATTAGATGCAACTTTTGTCATTTTTATTGTCAAATATTATAATAATTGAAGTACATTTTGAAGTTGTGAAAAATGTGACTTATTTGTAGAGGAAGTTTTAATCTTTGTTACTGTTTTTGAAATAGAATCCTTCCTGGTTGTTACATATCATTAGTAAGGAAACAAATGCTAAGAATGATTTTCTTCCTTTAGTTACTGAGTTTCAGAAGGCTTTTGGGTAACAATTATTTCTTTATAGAAAGCTTAAGCAGATAATTGTTCACAAGTTGACAACGTATTTTAACATTTTAATAAATTT